AAAAAAAAAAAAAAAAAAAAAAAAAAAAAAAAAAAAAAAAAAAAAAAAAAAAATTTAAATGGCTATATTAAAATCAAAGTACACTTCAGAAAAAAAAAATATTAACAGAAAGAGAGTCATGACATATCAGAAAAGAGATTGAATCATTAGGAAGATACAACCTTAAATGTATATGTACTCAATCGCAAAGTTTTAAGACATGAAAATAAAACTGAAAGAATAGCTAAAGCTACAATTAGAGGTGCAGATTTCAACCTTCCTCTTTCAGCAAATAATAGGGCAAGCAGACAAAAAATACTGTCAGAAATAAGACTTGAGTAACACTGTTGACAAACATGACCTAATTGCTATTTATGAACAGTTGGCAATTTCCACTCTTCTCTCAGTAATTCATACATTTAGAGAAAATAAATCAGTAAAGATATAAAAGTGTCTTTTAAAAAAGACTATCAATTTGATCTAACTGGTATTTACAGAACACTCCAGCCAACCAAAGCAGAATACACATTCTTTTCAAGTACACTTGAAATTAAAGTAGTATATTAGCCAGGCATGGTGGCAGGTGCCTGTACTCCTAGCTACTCAGGAGGCTGAGGCAGGAGAATCGCTTGAACTTGGGAGGCGGAGGTTGCAGTGAGCCAAGATCGCACCACTGCACTCCAGTCTGGGCAACAGGGCAAGACTCCGTCTCAAAAAAAAAAAAGTGGAAAATGAAAATATCAATAGAGAAAACGAATACAAGCCAAAGCAGGTTCTTTGAAAAAATAATATAATGATAAACCTCTAGTCCAAGGATTGGCTGACATTTTCTATAAAGGGTCAGATAAATATTTTAGAATTTACAGGCCACATAATTTATTCAACTTGCAACTACTCAACTCTGCCACTGTAGCATAAAAGCAGGCAAAGACAACATGTAAATAAATGAGTATGCTGTGTTCTAATACACTTTTTATAAAAAACAAGCAGGAGCATGGAGATGGAGACAGAGCGATAGAGAGATGAGGCAGAGACAGAAAGAGAGAGAACACAAATTACCAAAATCAGGAATGAGAAAGGGACATGACTACAGATCATACAGCCTCCACGATCAGCTAGTCACCCCAGGGAACCCCCACCCCATCCATGGAGCAGGCAGGGATGCAGAAACCACAGGAGGGTATGTGCCTCAGCCTTCAATGCTGGCATGCATTTATTTACTTAGTAACTAATTTATGCAAACGGGCAAAACAAAGATCCCTGGCCTCGTGGATCTTACCTTCTGAATCAGGGAGATTAAGAACAAACAATGTACATAATACATTTGTAGATTATCCAGCGTGTTAGGAGTTCATATAAACTGTGAAGAAAAAAGGAAAGGCAGGACAAGGGAGGGAGAGTGGAAGTGCTGAGAGTTTAAAATGGTTTAAAGACCCACCCAGGAAGGTCTTATTGAGGAATTAACATTTGAGCAAAGATGTGAAGGAGGTGATAGAGCAAGCCACCGGAAAGGCACAGGGCCTGAGGCACAGCCATTCCTGGAACATCTGGGGAACAGCAGAGGCCAAAGTCGTTAGGGGAGAGAATAAAGGGGAGAGAAGTGGAAGGAGAGATCAGAACCTCAGGGGACGCAGTCAGAATAGGGCCTTATGGTCTAAGGTGTGAAATGGGTGGGAAGCCCAGCAGGAGAGGGTGTGCCAACATTGGGGGGATGAATAAAAGGAAAAAGATCAACAGAAATTTAGAGAAACAATGGGGCTTCCTAAATCCCCACAGTAAGGTCACTCTAAGAGCTGGACCCTCCAGTCCTGGGGTCAAGGCGGAGCTAGAAAGATCCCTCCTCCCTCCTCCTTGCACAAGGACATGCAATTTGCGGGGAGAGGATACCTACCCGACCGTTCTCTATCTCTCGACAGGCCATCAGGATGACCTAGACAAGGAGACCAGGGGAGAGGAAGGTGATTGGGTTAGGGGGCCAGGGAAACCACCGAGGGGGTACTTAGAGGTTGACCCCACCGTCCTGCCCTGCCCCCAAGTGCTGACCTTGACCCCAAACTCCCAGATCAGTCGCCAGAAATCTAGCAGGGTGTGAGGCAAGGGTCCTTGTGTGGCGATGTAGGCCCGGCTTCCATCCGCGCCCTGGTGAAGGCCGCATTCACTACTAAGATTCTGCTGCCCACCCCTGGCCACCCCCAATCCACCTCTTCCACCTCCTTCCAAGATCCCAACCCTCACCCTGATGAAGTTGCCATTAATGTAGTCACTGTGTCCCTCTTCCTGGAGCAGGGAGAGGATCACTCGCGTCTGATCATCTGTCAGCAGATAAGGTAAGAAACGTGGAGTTTGGGGAGGATAGGGTGGCCAAGCCTCCGACAGCCCCCTGGCCGAAAACCAGCAGGGACCACACACCTGCAGAGACCCCACTGAGGTGCCCTCGTGGGCTGCTGAGCAGCGCAGAGGGTGAAGGTTTGGGAGGGGAGCGCAGCGGGTAACTCCAGTGCACACTGACGCCTGGACTGCGGCGGTGCCTGCGCCGCTGTACCCACTCCCCGCAGAAGACCCCACTTACAAGGCAGCACATCTTTGTAGCGGTTCTTCCTGACGTTCCCCGGCTGACTGCCGGCCTCGGTGGAGCACAGGCCGTCAGCCTTCCAGGCGGCCGAGCGGGCCTGAATGTCCTGGTGGAGCATCATGAGTGCGCCAGGGAGGGGAAAAGACAGGAGAGGAGCCAGGTCAGAGTCCCGGGCCACCTAGGCGCGCACAGGATACAAGGCCAGTGGCCTGGGGAGGTGAGTGCAGACCCCGAAGGCACCCGGCCTGCCTAATAAAAATGATACGGTAATAGCGACCCAGAGCACCTTCTCTGTGCCAGTCTCTGCGCTAAGGGCATGTAATCACAGGTTCCCACGACATGGGTACTGACTTCTCCATTGTGCAGGCGGGAAGGTTTCGGCACTACGTGGTTGAGTGACTTGTGGAAGGTCCCAACTAAGAAGTCTCATGGTGAGGGTGGAACTCAGACCTCTCGGCACCCACCCCTTGCACACTCTGTGACATTGTCCTGTAAGCAATAACTGTGATGAAATATGTGTTATATAACTAAACATATAAGACAATGTACAATGCATTGGTATTATAATGGATAACATATACTATATGTACTGTGTTACATCTTGTGTTAGTATCTTGTACAGTACAGGATACTATGAGTATTGTGTTACTGGGAGATTATAATAATAATTGTGAATAGTGTATTACCCTCACCGTCAGGTATTCATAATCTCAATGATAATAAGTGACACCTACTATGCCACCACTGTGTGCCAGCCACCATTCTAAGTGCTTTACTTATGTCCATTGGGTCATTTAAGCCCTCATGATGCCTGTGTGTAGTGGGTACACCTAGAAAAGCCCACCAATTCCTGCACATGTGGGAGGCAGGCTCGGGAAGCAGGGGTACCCTCACCACCCAGCCTTCTGCATGTGCACTGTTCAGAACCCAACCAGTCACATGATGTCATATATCAAATGGGTATTATCTTTACGTTTGTCACATACTTTTTTTTTTTTGAGACAGTCTCGCTCTCCTGCCTAGACCAGAGTGCAGCGGCATGGTCTCAGCTCACTGCAACCTCCACCTCCTAGGTTCAAGCAATTCTCCTGCCTCAGCCTCCTTAGTAGCTGGGATTAGAGGCATGAGCCACCATGCCCAGCTAATTTTTTTGTATTTTTAGTAGAGACAGGTTCTCACCATATTGGCCAGGCTGGTCTCAAACTCCTGGCCTTGTGATCTGCCCACCTCAGCCTCCCAAAGTGCTGGGATTACAGGTGTGAGCCATCGTGCCCAGTCTATATTTTAATATTGTATAATTATATATCTTACGTTTATTATGCATTTCTTAGATATGATATTTCTGCATGTGTGCAAATTACTTGTTTGTAATTACCTGTTATACATTTTATATTTACTTATGAATTTATCAAATAACCTTGGTCATTTTGTAAATTATAATCTTTATTTTTTATATTTGTTGTATTATTTTATGCAGTTATACAATGTTTATTGTATAAATGGTCATTTACAATATTTTTATATATTATTTTTTCTTTTTATTTTTTCCTGTTTTGGTTCTATGAGAAAACATATATTATTTCTAAATTTGATATGCGTCACCATATATCAGTTTACACGTTTGTATGGTATGTTTCTATGTCTGGTACATAAGCTATTACACTTTAAGCATGTCATTGACTGTAGCGTACAGTGCCTAGGACGCTGCGTGAGCCTTCCTGATGCTGGGCTTGCACTGCCCGTATTGTAACATTTAGATTTTTTGTTTGAGATGGGGTCTCGCTCTGTCACCCAGGCTGGAGTGCAATGGCCCGGCTCAGCTCACTGCAACCTCCGTCTCCCTGGCTCAAGCGATTCCTCTGCCTCTGCCTCCGTGGTAGCTGGGATTATAGGCATCCGCTACCACGCCCAGCTAATTTTTCTATTATTAGTAGAGACAGGGTTTTGCTGTGTTGCCCAGGCTGGTCTCGAACTTCTGAGCTCAAGCGATTCTTCCGCCTCGGCCTCCCAAAGTGTTGGGATTACCGGCGTGAGCCACCGCGCCAGGCCCACGTTTAGAATCTTTATAGGCAGTGACAAACGCCCCTATGAAGTGCGCGCACAATACGTGCTAAGAGCTTTTCACCCACCCCATTTAATCCTTAAGCCAGTTTGGTCATTCGCGTTCCCATTTCACCAAGGGAGAAGCCGAGGTCGGAGGGGCCAGGTAAACCGCCTGGACCACAGCCGAATGGCCCCGGACGCGGATTCGAGCCCGGCGTTCACACCCTCACTGCGCCAGGGCCTCCAGGTTCCCCTTGGCCCTGCTGCGGCCCCTTCCTTCCTGCGGTCACAGGAGACAGTCAGGTCGCCAAGAGCGGCGGGGCCGGGGCTGTCCAGCGTGTCCAGAGTACCGGGGGCCACCGGCCTTCCCCTGCGGAGCCCGCCCCGCCTGTCCCACCCGCAGCCGGGTTGTTCCGGGAGCGCGACCAGGACACCGGGAGCAAGGGTGCACACGGTCTGTCCCGACCCGACTATGGACGTTGCGCTCCGGGAGCGGTGGGCAGAGAGTGAAGACGGAGACAGCGAGAGCGACAGAGAAGTGCTGGGGGGAGAAACAGGGAGAGACTCCCCGAGGCGGGGAGACACCCGGGACACCGAGACAGAGAGGCAGAGCCCGCAGGGCGTAGAGGACGGGCGTAGAGGACAGACGTCCGCGGGGCCAGGGCCGGGGTGCGCCGCTCCCAGATCCCGCGCGCCACTCACGCTGAACTCGCCGGCGAGGACCGCCGCCTCCCGGTCGCCGCGCGCTTCCAGACGCTCCAGGAAGCTCTGCGCCGCGTCCAGGCTGCGGCTCATGGCGCCGCGGGCCAGCAAGGTCCAGCCCTGCCGCTTCGTTCCGCGCCCACAGCCAGTGTGGACGCCGCGGGAGGCGGCGGCCGGCGGCTGAGCCTCCGCCCCGGCCTCGGCAGCCAATGGAAGCGCGCAGCGGCGGGGAGGGCGACCCGGCCAGGGTGTTCTGAGCCCGTGCAGCCCCGCCCCGGGCGCTCGGGCCGCTGCGGGAGCCCTCGGTCCTCGCCCGTGGCCCGAGCAGAGCCCAGCACCAGCGCTTCCTTTTTTTTTTTTTTTTTTTTTTTTTTTGTGGCTGCCGCGCCCACAGGTGGGGCCGCACAGTCCCAGGAACACTCCCTCCTGCTTGGACCCGCCCCCAGTCCAGGATCCGCGCCCGGGGCCAATGTCCGGGTGCGGGCTCTGGGTGGACCGCCGCGCGGGGTCCGAGCTGGGGCGGGCGGCAGCCGTGGGTGGAGATGGTCGCCGAGATCAGACTATTCCTCCTCCTGGGGGACCCCGGGGTCTGGGGCGTCCGGCGCTCTGCGCTCCAGCCCGGCCCAATGGACGCCGGGGCTGAGGCAGCCGCGCCGTGGGAAAGGCCAAGTGGCAGCCGGATCTTCTCTGCATACTTCCCGAGGAATTTGTGGTTGCTCCTTTTCCCGTATGAGCTGGGCGGCGCCGGGGCACCCGGGTCAGTCCTGTGTGAGCATCTCGACCTGCATAAGCCTGCTGGGAAACAGAACTGAGGCAGTGGGAGTTGGTTCTGGGGAACCAATAGCTTCTCTTTTTTTGCCTGCCCTGGCACTCCCATTTGTGCAGAGGTCAGAGGAGAACTGCTGTGCCAGCTTCGGGGGTCACCGAGGGGAGGCTGGAGAGAATGGACCGGCACCCGGGGTCCTTCAAGGACAGGCCTGGATTAGGCCCCTTCTCACCGAGGTTGGAAGAATTAAGACGGGTGTCACTGGAAGGGCCGCCAGTGGACACCGGTTTGAGGTCGTTGAGGGGTAGAAAGGTAGGACTGGGGCCTGGATGTGTGCCTGAGTCACTGAAGGGTCAACAGGGGAATAATGTCAGGTGGTCAGTTTAATTCACTAGGGGTCATCAGAGTATTATTTAAGGGCACACCTTTTTCTTTTTCTTTTTTTTTTTGAGATGGAGTTTCGCTCTTGTTACCTAGGCTGGAGTGCAATGGCGCGATCTCGGCTCACAGCAGCCTTCAACTCCTGGGTTCAAGCAATTCTCCTGCCTCAGCCTCCCGAGTAGCTGGGACTACAGGCGTGCGTTAAGGGCACACTTTCTTAAAGGGCCAGGTAGGAAGTGATTTTGGCTGTACCATCTCTGCCCCAACCGCTTAACTCGGCTGTGGCAGCATGAAAGCAGTGTCGCTGTGTCCTAATGAAACTTTTTGTGTACAAAGAAATGAGAATTTCATGTAATTTTCATGTCATGACTTTGATTCTAGTCTGTGTGTGTGTGTGTGTGTGTGTCTGTATGTGGCCTACAGGCTGTCGTTTGCTGACCTTGGCTTAAGTGATGGAGAAATCAAAGTTGGAGATCAGTAGCTAGGACGGTTTCATTTATTGTGGGGTCAGAACGGGTCACTGTGAAATCCATGTTCATCATTTATCAAGTTACATCTTTGACCGTTCTAAGGGGGGTGAGTAGTGATCATTTAGGATGGTAGTGATAGGAAATTCATTAGAAGTCAGTCAGGGTTCCTTGGATGTTCATGGGGGCTGTCAGTCATTGGGAGGCCCAGTGAATACTTGGGACATGGACAAGAAGTGAAACTAATTGGGCCATTGGGATTTGCGGTGTAACTGAAGGGTCAGAAGAGTTAGGGAAGTCATGAAGAGCTTCTGCTCAGTTCATGATCGTGACTCTCAGTGTATCACTGAGGTTTCGTGGGTGGCCAGGGAGATCCAGGGAGGTAGAATACAGAAGCCTCAGTGAGCTTTCAGAAAAGGACTTTGCTGGGGAAGTTATGAAGGCTATGGGCTACTGGATACTAGAGCACTCAGGGGTCTGAAAGGTATCTCTGTGATGGTGGTGGTCGTGGATGTCAATGGCCACTGAAGACTGGGTGGTACCTGGCCTTTGGCAGCAGTGAGGGGTAAATGGACCATCCATGGTTCTAAGTAGGGGACAAGGAGGCTGACCCAGTGACTAGGGTCTCTGCCTGGCTAGCCGAGGGTCTTCTGTCCAACTAGGGGGCGGAAAGTCCTTCCATCTGACCTGGAAGGTGGGTCTATCTATCCAGCTGGCTGGCAGAATCTGTCCAGCAGCAGGGATACTGCTGAAGGCCTGTTCTCATAGGCTGAGGTCTGTCTCTCCAGCTGAAGTTGTGGTTGACTGGGTGGGCAGGGTGTTCTCACCTCTGGAGTAATATCTGTTTGTCCATTCCATTTGGGGGAAGGAGCCTGTCCTTGAGGGATTCTGACCTTTGTCTGGCTGGGAGGGCCCAGCTGTCTCTCTGGCCACAGGTCTGTTTCACCGGGGGGTCTTCCCATCTGTCAATAATCTGTGTCTGTCTGTCCAGGTGGGAGTGTTTCCCTGGGCATCTGTCCATCTGGAATCTGTCTGGGCAGGTGTGTGTGTGTGTTTTTGGTGGTCTGTGTATTACAGGATCTGAGTGACTAGCCAGATGCTGCCTTGTGACCTGTGAACATTAAGTGGCCGAGGCTGTGGTCTGTCATTTTTACTTCCAGCTGCCTTAAGTGTCTTTCTGCTCTCATGTTCACCTTCACTCCAAGCACCCCCCTTGTTGTTTTGAGATGAAGTCTTGCTCTTGTCCCCCAGGCTGGAGGGCAATGGTGGTGGTCATGGATGTCACTGGAGGTCAATGGCCACCGAAGACTGGGTGGTACCTGGCCTTTGACAGCAGTGAGGGGGTAAATGGGCATCTTGGATCACTGCAACCTCCGCCTTCCAAGTTCAAGCCATTCTTCTGCCTCAGCCTTCCAAGTAGCTGGGAGTACAGGCGCCTGCCACCACACCTGGCTAATTTTTATATTTTTAGTAGAGACGGGGTTTCACCATGTTGGCTAGGCTGGTCTTGAACTTCTGACCTCAGGTGATCCACCAGCCTCGGCCTCCCAAGTGCTGGGATTACAGGTGTGAACCACCATGCCTGGCACCCCTCCTTGTTGTTTAACCCCCCTGCCCTCCTGACATCTGACCGTCCCTCATGTCTCTCCAAACATCCAGATTCTTAGCTTGCCCTCTGTTCGGCTCAGGCTGGGTGTGGGGGATGGGAAGACCCCACAACCTCCAGAGGCTCTGGCCCACCCCAGCTCTCCTCTCCCGGAGGACTGCCAGCTGTGTTCTTGCAACGAGGGTCGCTGCTGCTGGTGGCCCTCCTGTTTGCCCTGCCAGCAGCAGTTTCGCACAGTGGGAGCAGCTGGCACTGGTACAGAGCCCTCAAGCATGCCAAAGCCCACGCGCCACATGCCGGTCTGTCACCTGCCCACCAGTCAGTGTGGCCACACAGGCTGCTCCACAGAGCCGACGGGACGAGGTGCCGGAAGATGCACAGGGACGCACGAACAAGGCTGTGAGTTCAGCCTGCGCTGAGGCTGCAGAGGGGAAAAGAAACGACAGTGGAGACCTCTGGCAGACAACCCTTCCTCCTGGAGGCTTCCGGGAAACTCCGTGGAGACTGCTGGCATCGCCAGGGTACGGTTCTTCTCCAGCTTCCTTTTTTGCTTAGTTAAAAAAGGGCAGAAGACTGGACCCAAAATGTTTCAGTTAGAATTCTGGCACCATGACTCAGTGTGACCTTCGGCGAGTCACTTAATTTCTCTGTATCTCAATTCCCTCCTCTGTGGGATGGGAACAATAATAGTCTCTCTTCTTGTTGCTTTATTGTGAGAATTTAAGGAAATCATTGTACATAAAGCATGTAGATAGAACAGCCCTTCAAGCTGGGTGAGCTGTACTGTTGGCTTATCGGCAAGTCTGGCATTTAGCGAACAGGAAAAAGGCACCCTCTTCAGTGCAAGAGGAAGCTTGTGGTGGCATCCCCCTCCCGTCCCTGAGAGCTGTAAGGCCTCTGGGACACCTTTGTTCCTGTCTCATTTAACTCTCCTCAGGTGTGCCAGGTTTCAGTGTTCTGAATCAAAGACTCCTCCTGGTCCCTCCCTGGGAAAGGGTCAGCAGCTCAGAGCTAGGGAAACACAGGCCAAGGAGAAAGCCACCCTTCCCCTTCTCAGCCCTCCCACCAAACCCCACAATCCCCAGCTCTTTGTGGAGGCTGACCTGCTGCCCTCAGGACTGCCCTGCAATTCTGCTTCAGAAAGCAGGGAAAACCATTAGTTATAGAGGGGAAGCCCTCTTCCCCATTTTTAAAATGCTTATACCAACTTTTCCCCCACCTCTCCAGGGCAGAGCCTGGGTACCTGCATTGCCCAGGGGCCCCTGTTGTGCCCCTGGAGGAAGTAAACTCAGGCAGACAAGTGCTCCAACAGCAACAGCATTCAGGGACTTCTGTGACTGACAGGCCTGGTCAGGCTGCTGCCTACGCAGCTGGCAGTTTCTACACCTGATGCCAGCCCAGCCTCAGCACACTTCCTCTGTATGCGGTGCTTTGCTTAGAAAAGACCAACTGGCCATGTTCTTGTCAGCAGATGCTGGCTGGGGTCCTGCACGGATGAGAGCTGTCTGCGGGCCCTGATTGCACAGCCCATGTATCATGGCTGAGTGCAGTTCCCAGGACAACCAAAGGGATGCATGGATCCATCTGCATCAGCTTCTGCCCCTCAATTATAACACCAGAGAGAAATGAGTGTGCGTAAACACCTCTGGAAGGAGTCCTGTAACAAGGGGCACCCTCACTGCTGACCAGGATGTTCAGAAGTCCTAGGCAATGCAAGGTGGCAAGGAGAAAGGAGGAGGGGGGAGCCCATCAGAAATGCTGATTGGCTTATGCCATAACCAGCTACAAAGTTTTAGAAACTTTTATGAAAAACTGTAAGGAATTACAAGAAAATTTAATAAGGTAGCTAGTTAAAATACACTAAGTAGGCGGGGTGTGGGGACTCACAGCAGTAATCCCAGCACTTTGGGAGGCTAAGGTGGGAGGATCATGAAATCAAGAAATCAAGACCATCCTGGACAGCAT